TCATATAAAGCGAGAAAATTCAGACAAAACCAATATATTCATATGGATTCATATTTTACAATCTCTTTATGAACTTGGAAGGACAAAAATGTCTCAAATCATACATTTAAAATATGAACGAAAGTCTTCCGGGTTTAAAATGACATAAGGGTGAGTAACTGATGGCAATTTATTTTTTCATTTTTGGGTAAACTAACCCTTTATTGTAATATAATCTCACTACGTTTGGATTACTTTTAGATTACTTTTTACCTAACTCGTTAATCACATTTACATAAATAGGATCTTGTACCATATTAATATAAAGAGATAAATTAAAAAATATTTTCCAAAAGCTGTTCCTCCTGGTTGCAAAGACAAGGTTTAAGCTAGTTTCAGACTAAAATGCTAACACAGCATCACAGTCTCATCCCAAGAAGTCATATAACTGACGTCTTGAGACGTCTTTTGACGTCCGCCTTTTTAGGGTACCCTTAAACGTCGGTTGCATGACGATCCCGGGCCGTCATACAACTGACGCTTTACCTTTAACGTTGGTAAGGTGACGGGGTAGGTTTAGAGGTGGGTTTAGGTCTGGGGTAGGGTTAGGATCCGATAATATCATCTAACCGACGTTTAAGGGTACCCTAAAAAGGCGGATGTTGACGTATGGTCACAAGACGTCAGTTATATGACGTTTTGGGATGAGACGCCGCTGAAAATGCATGTTTGAGCTGTATAAACTGAAAGCAATTTGCACTGACATATTTTAAGATATCAGTGCTAGTTGCTTTCAGTTTATACAGCTCAAACTTGCATTTTGTCTCAAGACAATTTTTTTTTCTAAGGCACGTTTATAAAAGCTACTTAAATGTCTTAATTAAACTAAAGGCCTAATCCTGTCTTAATCTAAACCCTGTCTGTGAAACTGGGCCATTAAGTAATTAAAAAATAATACAAGTTGAAATAAAAAATGTGAAAAATAAATATTAGTATTGGTATTAAGAGTTATGATTGCAAGTATTTTAAAATGCAATATAATCTAATTACAAGTATACGGTACTTAATTTTTGGAATCTGATTACACAATCCAGATTACATGCAAGCAGTTATCCGGCACTATATATTTATAATTATTACTAATATATTTTGAACAACTGTTTGAAACGCGAGCATGTCACAGAAACACATAGTGAGAGTCACGGCATATTTGTTGGTGTTGCAGATGTCTGAGTTTTAGCTGTCAGGACCCGTTTTTCACACACAGAGCAGGATTAGTTTCCATGGTGGCAGTGAACATGTGGCAGGTGGTTTTTGCCCTCAGCTTTGTACTACCAGCAGAAAAAGACACTAGCTGTATCTATGAGGAAATCCTAACATGACAGTCTTAAAATAAACTATACATTTTGGAGAAGGAAGCATGTGCTATACAACTGTAAATGTATGGAGAAAACCAATGAATACATTTCATTTGATTTACATTTTATATATATATTTTTTCTCTACTATTTTTCCATTCCAGTAAACATATCCATACTGCAACTTCTTTGTCTGTTGTATGCCATTTACATAAGAGATAGAATCTTTAAAAAGAATGCAAATTAGAAATTTGGCAGTGAAATTGGTGTAACTGTTGTGCTGCGTGTCTGTATGGAGGATATTAAATTCAAGGTGTGAATAAACTTTACCGAATATAGTTCCAAGGACATGTGACAGCTCCTGGAGATGTGCGTCATCCAGACAGCTCTTGTTTTCCAGAGCCTACCTGACAACATGGAGATGCTAATGCCATCTCACGGAGACGCAGAAAGAACAGGAGACGAAGAGTGTTACCATGGAACAGATGGATTTATGAAAGAGGCACACACACACACACACACACACACACACAGCGCTTGCATACTATCTGACCCTGTCGTTCACACACGGAATGAGATACACACTAATAAACATTCATCACACACACAGGTATAGGGTGTAGCACGCAGACAGCAGGAGTGGGGGCAGATGTGTAAACACTACCTGTTTGTTCTGTGTAATGGCTGAATGACTGGGGAAGTGAGAAGCAGGTGATGGTCCTGCTGGAACACTGAGCTCCATATAATACATTCAAGCTACATGTGACAGCCTTGGATTTTCTCCAAGAGTGGGTGGAGTGTATGATCCTCACGGTAAAAAAAAACAGCGGTAATAAGACAGTGTTTACAATACATGCTAAACTACTAATCATTTTTACCATAAATTAGTTACAGAGTAGCCTGCTTATTATCTTAGTCTGGTTCATAAAGACCTGGCTGACTCACTGAACTACTTTGAATGGTTATCTGTGTGTGTGTGTGTGTGTGTGTGAGAGAGAGAGAGAGAGAGAGAGAGAGAGAGAGAGAGAGAGAGAGTAAGCAGGCCTGTGATGTAAATGGACTCATTTTACTGTGAAATGAACCCTGTAGTGATGCAAGGAGAGATGTGATTAGCCTGCGGCCTTGACTGAGTTCGCCAATTCGTCTGTCTCACACCAATAGAAGCACAGAAACACCTCTCTCTTATTTCTATAATCCATGAGAAAACAAACGTTTGACTTTTTGATTCTCATGTGTATTGGAAATCAGTTTATCTACAAAAGTGTGCTAACATTTCTAAAAACAAATGTCAAATGTAGGCCTACACTGTCTTTTTTGCACAATGTTTGCTTGTTGAGTGATTAATACTTTGACTAGTAGTGTTTTAACCCTTCCTGTCTGGTTAGTCATTATAATTGCATTATTATAATGACTAACTGTCATAACAATGGCTCATAGCCTACATTTGCATTACAGTTTTTTTTTTAACAAAAGAAAATTCCCACCAGTATTCAGTAGAATTTTTTGATGAGAATAATGGTAGTGGTAGTTGAAGTTCCTTTAAAGGGATAGTTCACTTTGAAATTAAAGTTTTGATATGTTTTAGCTTGCCGCAAGGGCATCCAAGATGTAGTGTCTTTGTTCCCGCAGTACGTAGTTTCAATTCTGACATTTTTAGGTCAAACCGTTCATGTCTATCAGGTCTATGGTCACCACCTCAAAGAGCATGTACAGAAAAGTCCAAATTAAACATGATTTAATGACTCGTAAATGTAAGTACACATTGATGGCCTAAGACACGAAACGAGCGGTTTGTGTGAGAAAACGAACAGTATTTATATCGGTTTAACCTCTTATCACCGTTACGTCCAAGTGATCTGAGGGCGCGGGTGCTTTGAGGCTGTGGTAACGATATAAATACTGTTCGTTTTCTCACACAAACCGCTCGTTTTGTGTCTTAGGCCATCAATGTGTACTTACATTTATGAGTCATTAAATCATATTTAATTTGGACTTCTCTGTGGATGCTCTTTGAGATGGTGACCATAGACCTTCATTACATGACAGATAGACACGAACGGTTTGACCTAAAAATATCAAAAATGAAACTACTGCCGAAACTACATCTTGGATGCCCTTGAGGTAAGTTAAAATGTCTCATATTTCATCTCTTTGTTGACATATTAGTCTTCTTGGCAACAAAGTAAAATAGAATTGTAAATAAAAAATGTAAAATACTATATTATGTACATTGTACTTGTGGTACTGCAGTGAGATAAATGTTATTAATAGAAATCATTTTCACACAAAATATTATAAATTCCTTTCCTTGTAGAGATATTCATGTTATTGAATGTCTGGGTCTGAGATAACGGTAAAACAAAATTTATAAAAAAGGCATTTGAAAAGTATTCAAGAGACTTTCATTGTGATATTTAATTATTAAACAAACATACGTAAAGTAAAAACAACACCTATAACAGATGTATAATAGCAGCAAATTGTGCTATGCTAAACAGTAATATAATTCAACACATTATATAAACAGATAACGATATCTAGATTATTAAAAATGTGATGCTTTACTTTCTTATTTTAGAGTGAATTTCAGTACTCTCTCATGAAGTTATTGAAAGCTCCATTTTAAGCACTTTATATGCTTGTTTTAGAGAGTTCATATTATGCAATGTTACACTATGCTAGAATGTGCTTAAAGGAAAAAGAAACAGGGTTCATCTGTAGGCGCTACAATGACTGTACCATCACAAAAGATGAGGCGCCATAGAACAACTATACCTTTTGTTTGGACTCACACAGTAGTGCATCATGTTCCTGAAACTCTGAGAGGACACCACATCATGGATGGATGTTCCACTGTAATAAACAACAGCATTAAAACAAGATGTTAGCCAGTGATGCAGTTAAATCTTGACTGCTTGGTGGATATCTTAACCTACAGATTCTCCTAAACACGACAGTAAATGACAAGAAGCAAAATGGACGAAATAAAAGCTTTGCAAACTTCCTGACACGGTTTCACCCTTTCTTAAAGGGATAGATCACCCAAAAATAAAAATACGTCTCTCATCCTGATGCCATACCAGATGTATATCACTTTCTGTCTTCAAATAAACACAAACAATGATTTTTTTTGAGTCCATATAATGCAAGTGAATGGGTGCCGCTCATTTGACGACTGAAAAACCACACACAAAGATTGTGACGGTAATCCATAAGACCCCAGTGGAAGAATTAATGTCTTCTGAAGCAAGAAGTAACGTAGAAGCACAGAGGACCGCCACGTTTTGTATGAGCCTCACAAAACATTTACGTATAAGAAAAATATTCGTGTTTTTCTCACAGATGCCTATTGCTTTTACATCATTGATTCATACACTGATTCATGATCATTGCGTGTGCCTTTTCAAGCATTAAACAAGCAGTAAATGATGAGAGAATTTTCATTTTCCTGTAAACTATCTCTGCTAGCTCTCTCACTGAGGACTCCAGGAATCTACATTATGGTTAAACAGTATGGATGGGCCTTGTTTTTTTTTCTGATGAGTCAGAAATGGAAGCCCCCCGTTAGACAATGACAGGATTTAAGCTTTCTTTTGACAGATTTTGCTGAGCTAGCATTCCCTCTGCACATTCTGCAGTAACTGCAGAGACAGCGGCTATATAAACACCCCGCATTGGACCGACCCCCAACGTTTATTACGCCAAATCTCTCCCACAACAGCATGTGAGTATTGGTCGCCGTCATGCTGCCAAAATCAACATCATAACAGACCTCACGAAAGCGGATTTAACTGTGAAAATGGATAAACGCACTGACTGGACACAATCATCATGGACCATCGTGAATGATGGGAGATAGAGGCCTTTGTGAATCTTTCCATGGACTGAAAAGTCACCCATTTTTGGTGGTTGCTAAATGAATTTTCAAAGCAATGTTGGAATTGAGACATTTCAGCCATCGCTGGATTCATGGGGCCCCTATTATCTATGACTGCATGTACTGGTTGTTTTAGTGCAGTTAAAATAATTTCTCATAGGCACAGCTACACTGAAACGGCCGAATAGAACAAAATGTGTTTATTCTAAAGTGACCTAAAAGAAGAATTCTTTTGACAACTTGACGCTAACAATGGCCTGAGGTCATAGGTTAGGCCTGAATGTTGTTGAGATTAGTGCTTGCGATCTGTCAGGTGAGGGCAGGTGGTGTTGTATTGTTAACCTTATCCCTTGTCTCCGGTAGCTGGAGAGAGCAGACAGGCGGCCATCATGAATCAGAGAGAGCAGATGGAGCAGAGGGGGCAGTGGAGGATCACAGTGTGGGAAGAGGAGAACTTCCAGGGCAAGCGCTGCGAGTTCATGCTGGAGTGCCCGAACATTCTGGACAGGAATTTCCAAAAGATCCGCTCTATCAGGGTGGAGAATGGCCCGTAAGTGTGTGTTTTTGCAGATATATTTTTAAGATATATATATATATATATATATATATATATCAAAAAGAACCTCATCATCTATATATATATATATATGTGTGTGTGTATTGCAATTAATTTGACAGCATCAATTAATTGTGATTAATTTGTTTGCAAATTAATATGTATATATATTTACTATCTAATAGTAATTAGTTTGTAAATATAATATATACATACATACATACACATGTGTTTTTGTGTGTGTGTGTGTGCTGGCAAATCAATTAATCACGTATAACATAAAAGTTTGTATGTGTATCTACTTTAATGTTATATTTGATTAATTGTGAATAACCGAATTGACAGCACACACACACACACACACACACATATATATATATATATATATATATATATATATATAGGCATTACGTGTGGGTGTGTGTAGTTATAAAAGTCCCTTTTTTCCTGTGATAAAATACAAACACTGATCGTAATTTTTGCAGCTGGGTGGGTTATGAGTACCCAGAGTTTCAGGGTCAGCAGTTCATCCTGGAGAAAGGAGATTATCCCTGCTATCAGGCCTGGAGCGGAAACAGCAGCTACCGCACTGAGCACATGCTCTCCTTCAGACCCATCAAATGCGCTGTAAGTTAAATGCATTCAAGAGTCTCATTAATTTACATTTCATTTAGAGTACACATCAAATTTGTTTGTGAAGTATCACAAAACCAATAGAATAGGAATATAGAAATAATAAGCAAAATCTACTCTGCTGAAATGCAATGTGTACATCATTTTAATTTTATAGCATTTCATTCAAATGAACATGATATCTTGCATCTGACTTGCAAACCTTTCAAAATATACTTTGTGTGTGCTCTTTCGAACCAGAAACACAGTGATAGTAAAATTACCCTGTATGAGTGTGAGGACATGATGGGACGCAAGTTTGAGATGTGCGATGACTATCCTTCTCTTCAAGCCATGGGCTGGTGCAGTAAGGAGGTTCCTTCTATGAAAGTCAACAATGGAGCGTAAGTCATCCCCCATTTGCCTCAGTATAAGTTATGTTTATATTATTCTCTCTGCACACAGATTTATCTCAATAATAATATGTTCTTCTTCATCTCACGGCAGATGGGTGGGCTACCAGTTTCCAGGTTACCGTGGATACCAGTATATCTTTGAGAGAGACAGACGTCAGGGAGAATACAGGAACTATAATGAGTTCGGCACCCAGGCCCACAGCAATCAGATCCAATCAATCCGCAGAATTCAGCACTAACTCCGCCCCCGCTCTTCTCCTATTGGCTACTGTGAATCAAGTGACAGCATGATATGAGACGAAGTATAGGCAATAAACGATTTTCAAACTCCAGAAAAAAAGTGTGCCATTCCTTTTATAAAACCCGTGCCAGAAAATTGTTAGAAAAACAATTAGATCGTTAAAAAAAAACTGGAGTGTAATTATTTTATAACAAATCAAGATGGAAACCAAGTATAGCCAACTTATAAAGATTTAACATATTGTTAACAAACTTTTTCAATTCAGATTAGAGATTTTTAGATTAGATTTTTGTTTCATTTAATTTTTTTATTTTCCTTAATGTCAGACATAGAATGTATTGTTCTTGTCGGATTGTGTTTTATTTTCAATAAACAAAAGCACGAGATGATGGCTGTAGTGTTTCTACTGTGTGCTATTGTTACCAGATCTATTGTGTTTTGCAGCTCAAAATATTTGTTTATTACGACGATTCAGCATTGTTTATTTGAATATTAGCCGACATAAAAGCTGGTTGGAATCTTTTTTGGTCGGATAAAATTAAGATCATATATTTTAAGAAAAAATAATTCATCGAGAGCTGTCCACGGTGCTGATATGTACCGCGTAACAGAGCAAATAAGAGACTAACAAGCATTAATAGTTGTGGAACTACTGGCAAGGTATACTTTTCGTCCGTTTCTTTGTAACACAATCGGTTACAAAGGTCCAGTTAATACAGTATTTTAATCAGCAAGGTGTTCAAATAGGCTCATCAATAGACGATTATAGAGCGCCTTCTGCTGGATAATTTTTTACTTTACAATTATAGGTAACTTAGGCCTCAGTTATAGCCTATAATTTTAAAACGTTAATTAAAACGTATATTTTATTAAAAAAATAGGCTACTTTAAATAGATAAAAAGTGGAAAAAAGTCTTATATTGATAAAATAAAAAAATATTTATAGAGGTGCTATGAGTAGCTAATGTTTGCTTTTCTATTAAAAAACATATAATAGCCTACATAAACATATAAAGGCTACTATAACATATAAACATATAAAGTAGGCTACTGTTTGTTTTATGAATTAATAAATTACGTGGCTAATACATAATGAATGATAAAAAAAGAAGAAGATAAAAAAGCTAGTCTCTCATGTTGCCACATGATGGCGCCCTTGATTTTTGCATTGAAACGTTCTGGCGTTTTACGTTGTCAGAAAATAGAGAAAATCATCCATTTAGATAGAAACTCAATTTCAGGCCTATAGGTATTCAGCGCTGTTCAACGCTGTTTCAATTCAGATCAATGTGTTATTGTTGCAAAGCTCATCGTTATGAAACAAAATCAATTCAGCTACAAGTAGGGCTATTCAGATAAGTCATTTTTTACGCCATACAATAACTTTATTGTAACTCTACACCCTTAGACTTAAAGGGTTAGTTCACCCAAAAATGAAAATTAAGTAGCCTAGGCCTAATTAATTACTAGCCCACGCCCCATGCGGCACCAACCCCGTAAGACCTTCGTTTGTCTTCGGAACACAAATGAAGATATTTTTGATTAAATTTGAGAGGTGGATCACACATAGCTCATAAGGGATCGAAACTTGACGGCCCAGAAAGACATCGAAGAAAATGTTTAAATATTCCATGTGACAACAGTGGCTCAAGTATAAATTTCTCAAGCGACGAGAATAATTTTTGTGCGAAAAAAATAAATAAATAACGACTTTATTCGACTACTCCATTTCTTCCTTGTAGGCCTGAGACGAGAGTTCAAGAGATTTCCACGACGCGTACAAGAAAAGGAGTCGAATAAAGTCGAATAAAGTCGTTATTTTTGTTTGTTTTTTTCGCACAAAAAGTATTCTCGTCGCTTGATAAACTTATACTTGAGCCACTGTAGTCACATGGAATTTTTACTGTAAACATTTTCTTCAATGACTTTCTGGGCCGTCAAGTTTCGATCCCTTAAAGGGTTAGTTCACCCAAAAATGAAAATTAAGTCATTAATTACTCACCCCCATGCTGTACCAACCCCGTAAGACCTTCGTTCGTCTTCGGAATACAAATGAAGATATTTTTGATTAAATTTGAGAGCTGTATAACTACCACATTGGCTCCTAAAGGACTGCCTCTTGACGGCCCAGAAAGTCAATGAAGAAAATGTTTAAATATCCCAAGTGACTACCGTGGCTCAACTATATGTTTATCAAGCGACGCGAATACTTTTTGTGCGAAAAAACAAACAAAAATAACGAGTTTATTCGACTATTTCTTTTCTTCCTTGTAGGCCAGAACGAGACTTCCTTAGATTTCCACGACGCATGCGCGAGAATTGCGATCTGAAGTGGTGTAAGCTGATGTGAGCAGATCGCAAATCTCGCGCATGCGTCGTGGAAATCTAAGGAAGTCTCGTTCTGGCCTACAAGGAAGAAAAGAAATAGTCGAATAAACTCGTTATTTTTGTTTGTTTTTTCGCACAAAAAGTATTCGCGTCGCTTGATAAACATATAGTTGAGCCACGGTAGTCACTTGGGATATTTAAACATTTTCTTCATTGACTTTCTGGGCCGTCAAGAGGCAGTCCTTTAGGAGCCAATGTGGTAGTTATACAGCTCTCAAATTTAATCAAAAATATCTTTATTTGTGTTCCGAAGACGAACGAAGGTCTTACGGGGTTGGTACAGCATGGGGGTGAGTAATTAATGACTTAATTTTCATTTTTGGGTGAACTAACCCTTTAAGGTCAGGAGCCTCCTCTCAAATTTAAACAAAAATATCTTCATTTGTGTTCCGAAGACGAACGGATGTCTTACGGTGTTGGTACAGCATGGGGGTGAGTAATTAATGACTTAATTTTAATTTTTGGGCGAACTAACCGTTTAATTTAGTAAATGCGGATTCATGAATATGTAATTAGCCACGCCTCCACTCACTGCTCACATCAGCTCATAATACCTGATCCACAAGGTCAACTTTAATGTATAAACACTGTACAATGGCAAGTGGAAATATGGTTTAATTCAGCCATATAAGAAGAAGATTTGGAAGAGTTCATTATACAAGTCGATGTATCAGAATCAGGCGTAATTTGCGGGTGGGACGGACATGTCCTCACCACTTTTTGCCAGGGTTGATATGTCCCCACTTTTGAAACATCTCGCGGTACGGATATAGCCTAACTAATGGTGACTTCTAATGATGCTGATGCAAACTCATATCTGGTTTAGCCTTGAATGGGGCCACTGCACTTTTGTGAAGTAACCCTGCACCTGTTGTTATTATAGCAGCCATATAATTACTCAAGTCTCTTCAAAAGGAGAGTTCAGCTGTACACAATTCAAATCACCCGCTTACCATCAATCATGCTCATCACCCACCCAAAAATCACATGCCAAGATGTACATCTATCTATCTATCTATCTATCTATCTATCTATCTATCTATCTATCTATCTATCTATCTATCTATCTATCTATCTATCTATCTATCTATCTATCCAAAATAAATAGATCATTTCAAATAAATGTTTTTTCTATCAAAGAATCAGTGCTAATAATAAGAAATGTTTCTTGAGCACAAAACCAGCATACTTAGAATGATTTCTGAAGGATCATGTGACACTGATGACAGTAATGATGATGAAAATTCAGCTTTGCCATCAATAAAACATTTTAAAATATATTACAATAGTAAAAAGTTGTATATTTTTTTTCTCAGATTTTCACCCATCATTATATTGTCCCCATTTATGTTCTCATTTTACTTTCTGTTCTATTCTATGTTCTGAACAGTACCAGACGTTCCTCTTTCTTCCCACTCCTTTCCAGCTGCCAGCATCTCTCACTCTTTTTTTTTTTTTTTCACGCTCTGCTGTTACAGCTACTGATGGCTACCATGGCAACACTCTGGCAATGATGTTCTAGAAGGTACAGGAAGTGATGACCCCACAAAAATCAGTCCTTGTTGTGATTGTGTCAGTCTGTCATTAACCAATTGACATTGAGTATAATATAATATAATATGAAGAGTTCAGATGCAAAAGCCTCTAAATGCCATTTGAAATTTTCTTCTTTAATGATGATTTTTGTCAAACTTGTATATTTAAGTTCAGTAATTTCACTTAAATAACAATTAATAGGTAATTATCATTGCAATTTAAGTGAAATCACTGAACTTAAATATACAAGCTTGATAAAAATGATCATTCTAGAAGAAAATTTCAAATGGCACTTAGAGGCTTTTGCATCTGAACTCTTCATATAATATAATATAATATAATATAATATAATATAATATAATATAATATAATATAATATAATATAATATAATATAATATAATAAATATAATATAATATAATTGTAATGTAATAATTGCTAAGTGCATCCTTTTTACATCTCTCCCAAAAATAGTGGTCTAAAATATAATAGGTATACCCGTTTTCCCTTCTTATTTCATAGCAGAAAGCCTCATGGTATAGCTACAATCTTACGTAATCCTGTAAATCCTGATATGCAATCATATGAAATAATAGTCAAAACCATTGTTTTTTTTTAACGGAACAGTTTAGAGGCCCAACTGAGCATTTGGTGCAGTTGCTGAAATGTATATGACCCAAAATTCTGATAGCTTGTAATATAGATTAATAAGGTCTTTATACCAGTATTGCAGTTTACTAAATATCAGTTTTTGCTCTATATCTTTCAGTAGTCTCAGTAAGATGATATTTAAATGCTTTGTTTCATGATCAAATAGTTTTTATTGTGGGGGCATAACATATAATACAATGCAATACAATGACGATTGAGACTGAGATGTACAAATAAATGATCTTCAAAAGCCTGATCATATCCCATTTTGTCTTGATTTTTCTAAAACAAATATGTCTGGATAATCAAGTAAACCGAAGTTGCTTCATTCCAGTAAGTATTCATCTATTACTAACAACATAAAAGTTATTTAAATGTTTACTTAATAAAATTCTGTAAACACATGCAGCAAAAAGAAATGTACCTCAACCCGAACCTTATGAACCTTCTGATAAGCTCACACAAAACTTACACACACATGTAACACACTGCTCTGCCCTGCCCTGACTTGCCCTGTACATACAAGCTGAATCCTGAAGGTGCTGAATGAGCTTATATTCAGGGCTTATATAAATATATCTCTCAGCTCTGAGACTTTATTCATAATTGTGCCAGGTGGGTGGAACAAGCTTAATCCCCATTGAGTCTCATCAGGAATGTTCTCCTGGGATCTGAAAGGCCACAAGGAAGAACAAAATGCATGGATAGTGTCATTTGTCATGAGGGGAAAGAGAACAGAATATGTTTATTTTATATAGCGCCTTTCAGAAACCTCAAGGTCGCTTAAGTACAAAAAACTTGATGGATAATATAATAG